AACAGCACAGAAAAGAGGTAAAAGTAGTTTAGGATGAGAATACAAAATGTTTTTGCATGAGGCTCAGTGAGCGACAGCAAAGGCAATGCAGCACTTACAGGCCATGTCTTTGAGCTGGTCCACTGTGCGGAGGACGGGGGGATCACAGTTTTGCAGGTAGTAGATGATCAGCAGTGTCAGAGCATAGTTGTTGAGCAGGGGACCGGCACCACTGGGATTACCTACACATTATAACATGAATGGGATAGTGTGAAGGAAGAAACCATAATGAGTGCAATGCTGTGCAAAAAAATATATATAGGATATAATCCAGAGATGACACATCAACGGGTCTGTAATAGTGTGGAGAGGCTTGTGTGGCATGGCTTTGGTCGTCTTGTTCCTTAGTAATGAAAAAAAAAAGTATAATCCAGCAAACAGATCCTGGATCAGCCATGGGTGATCTAACTGCATCTCAAAAATGATTTATCTGAAACCTGTGTGCTTAATTTGAAATAAGAAAATGTACTTCTGTCATTTTTTGGAACTTTTCTTATTTGGTTTTTCGTACCTGGCAACACTGATCTATGCCATCGCTTCAAAACATCTGGTTTACAGCAGCCTAACACTCATCTGACCTCATCATGCTGTGCTAATCACTCTGTACAAGTGCCTTGTTAAAAGCTGCATGGAGCCTACAGTTCATCAAAGGGAACAAAGATGATATGCCCCAGGCGTAAAGGTAATTAGTGCGCTCTTCAGTGAAGAACGCTCTTTATTAAGATGTGATTCTTTATCAGTGGACACAGCCTGCACACAAGGAGCAGTACTTGTCCCACAGCTTCTGCAAAAAGGCACTACAAGGCTTTGCAAATCAGTGTGTCCACACAGATCCTAACAAGATCATAAAGGGCAAGTGGAGTTCTACTGACATCTGCTGACCAAACAATGCAATAACAACCTACATGCACAGATAACCACAGTGCATTAATCTTGACTGTAAAAAAAATATAATTACAACAGAATTAGTGCTATATGCTATGCTCCATGGTGCAAGTAATGTCATCTTACCAGCCAGCTGCTTCTGCTTGGCCCAGTAGCGGATGGTGTACACCAGAGGCCTCAGCCTGTCCTCCATCCCTGAACACAGCTGGAGGAAGCGGGTGTTCCTTACTGCAAGTCTAGTGAGGGATACACGATAGGAGAAAAGAAAAATGTACTGTAATTCAGCTCGCTGTACAAGATAGAAATTTCGTACACCACATCCAAAAGATTTCTGAGTCTTAGGAAATCGTAAGACTCGTCGACTGACCTGTTGTTAATGGTGATGTCGCCCTGCAGGTTGAGCTCACGGTGATGGAACTTGACTACGGGGAGACGAGCACTGCTGACCACCTGGACTTTGTGCACGCTGGGGACACAGCGTCTGAGGATTGTCGCTACAAGGTCCAGGACCTCAGCCGGAGAGGCGATGGACAGGTCGATGTCAGACAGGATGGAGTCCTCGGAGCGGCCATCGTCTGATGTGCCCTCCCCTGCCTGAAGAAAGAGGGATGACAAAAATTCGTTCAAACACACAGCAGCATGTCAATATAGTAGTTAATATTTTGGCCATGAATTAAATAGAAGGCACTTCAAAGGTTCAAATGCTTATAAAAATGTCAGACCTGTTCTGTGGTAGACTTGGCTCGGGCTTGGAACACCTTGGTGTTTTCCAGGTCCAGGAACAGGTCTAAGTCGCAGGAGTGGATGCCGAAAGTGTTGACAGATGACCCGAATGGCTGAATCTGGCTGTCTGTAAACAATCCAAATGAAGTATTAAAAATGAGTGAGGCAATCTTTTCTACAATTATCACTACGTAAGACTGTGTACATGTGCTCAAAAAAAGGTCACCTGGAAAAAACTCCACGAAAACCTCTTGCAGGAGTTGAACCAGCAACCCTCTGGCCTTCTTTTCGTTTTCTCCCAGCTGGAATCGTTCTACGACGTACTGCATCTGTGCATTCACCTGGAGAACAACAAAAGACACCACAGTAGCACTGTTAAATTAATAATCAAAAAAGTATAAACCAGGCTTTATATTTAACAATGAGATGCTTACAGACACCAACTGGCACAGCTGAGGTTTGAGACGTTCGAGAGCTTGTTGGAGGTTCTGGGGGTCGTTCTTCTTCTTGGGAATCAACTTGAAATCCTTCTTTTCCCGTGGTTTGACGCGCAGCTTTAAGCCTTTCATCTGATGCTCGACACAGGACAGGGCCGCCTGTATGCTGTCAGTCTCAGTGAACTGCACGATGGCGTACACACCCTGTGAGTGCAGAGGGACACATCCGGTCAGAGTACATTGGGGTTCATCAGTCACTTTCCATATGCTGCAAAGAAACTGATCATCAGCACTGTTGGCGTGAACACATGCTGTACAGATAAGCACTGTGTGGCTATGGACATCATTTAAAATGAGCTGCATATCATTATAAACAGCTGACTGACCTTGTCTTTATCCATGATAACATCTGAGACCGGCCCAAACTGCTGGAAGTATTCTGCTATGTCAGTCTGAGAGATGTCAGGCTTGATGCCACTGACAAACACACTGTGCTGCTCCTGGGTCTTCCTGGTAGCCCGCACAGTGCTGAGTGTTTGGTGTTTCCGCCCTTTAACGTGCTGCTCCACACTTGGCACTGCGGAAGATTAAAGCACGAGCAATAACATTAAGCTCTTTTAAGAAATACAGTAGTTTCAAAGATTAAACTGTATGGAGCATGCTCAACAAACAAAACACAACAAATGTATGTTATCTAATACATAACGGCTGGCACCCCAGTATTTTGCTGAACTTCTCTGCCCCTACTCCAACTCCCGTCCTCTTAGATCCTCCTCAGAACATTGTCTTTTAACTGCCCTATGATCGAGGCTGGTGGGTAAGGGAGATCGTGCCTTTGCTTTGGAATAGCCTTCCTCCCCCTCCATTGACACTTTTTACCTTAAAATGTACACGTTTCAATGGTTTTGGGTTGTTTGTAGGGGTTTTAATATTTTTGTATTTTATATATATATATATATTTTAACATATATAATTTTTCTTACCAGTGTTATTCTGTTTTATATTTGTGTACATTTTATACTGATATTTATTTGTATTTCATTCTTTTAAATTAGTTTTTAAATGTGCTATATAAAAAAAAACTTGATTTGGATATCTATCTATCTAGCTACCTACCTATCTACCTATCTATCTATACATATATAGATACGACCTAGGTATATAAGTATAAATAAATAACAATGATTTAAGACAATTATATAAAAATGAACGTTCAACAAATTAAAATAAAAATTAAATAAATTTAAAAAAAGATACCCAGGAGTACAAGTATACAGAGAAAATGGGTATATTCAGTCAGATGATTTGGGGAGAAAATTTTGCAAAATTTTCTAACAGCTTTGAAGTGAAAGTGATTTGAGAAGAGCTTTGAATTCCATAATAAAAAAAAAAAAAAAGATATATATCAGGACCTGACTATAATAATTTCTTTTTTTTTTTTAGCATTGAGAATAATAAAATTAATAACAAATAATATCCCTAAAGTTAAAGGAGTAAATTGAATTACATGAATCAATCTAGATCAATCCAAAATCGTTTGGATATTTCACATTAACAGTTTCTATAATATGTTTACAAAAAGGAGCAGGAAGTGTGTATGTGAATTTAGCAACAAGAAACTGGCAGGGTGTATTTTTCTGTGATACAATACTTACAAGGTAAAAGCTAAGCCCTTCTCCCCTTTATGTTCTCAATTTTAGATCTCCAGATACGAACTAGTTAAAACTTGTTTTATCCTTCCTTTGATAAGATAGGGCTACTGTTAAACGTTATATCTGTTAGCTTATTTCTGTCCAACATCAGCCTAACACACCAAAAGTATCTGGCTAGTACATTAAGTTAGCTAGCTGCTCTAAAAACACATGGCACTGACATTTACGATATGTCGTTTGTTATACAAGTGACAGTAACGTTGTACCGGTACTCCATAAGATAGATAAAGTTACGCTAAAAACTAAGGGCACCTGTAAACAAGTTAAATGTGGCTAAGTTAGCTGACTTACTGTTTGGTAAACTGACTTTGCACAGGGAGCAGTGGAACCCTCTCGGCGTCGTCTGTATGTCGCTGTCTGCCTCCATGACGGAGAGAAATTAATTATTATCGAGAAAAAAAATAGAAATAAATCGACCACTAAAGTCGTCACAGCAAAGTGTGAGGTCGACTGCCCTCCATGCGTCTCTCAAATCTCCCTCCAGCGTTGAGCCTGCGTTTGTTTCGAGTCCGTCCCCAAAATCAGTCCGGGTTGTTTTCCGGCTTTATCACAAAGTTCCGGGGAATTTAATTGTGCTCATTTGTGCTGCTAACACTAAAAATGTGTGAATTATGTTTCTTTTCACGAGAGTTTATAAACTGTTGTATTGGTGTTATTTACTCAGACGGTTCAAATGTATAATCGCATTGATTACAGATTTTTTTTTTCTGTCTTAGGTGCTGATGGATAATCAAACTGTTCAATGTAGTTTGTTTCATACTGACTGCAGTATGCATTATGGCCCAATCTTAGAGAAAACCTTTATGGATTTTTATTTTAAACCCCCTAGTGCATTAACCAATTTACACGTGGCTGATTCACTATTTCACATACCTCTCTTTAAGTAATATAGACAGCACATGAAACACATTTTATTTTTCCTTTTGCCTCATCTTATATAATCAGACCTACACCCACACTAAGCTGTCCATGAAAGTAAATGTAATGCCATTTTCCTTTTCAGTCTCATTTACCTGCACTATCTGTAAATATCAAAAATATGACTGATAGAGCCCAGTCACCAGAGCAGTACCTGTACCTACACAATGCTATATGTAAACCATATTCAAGCCATTTGGACAATTACCATTGCAGCCATTTTAACTCCACATGTTGATGCATGAGCACCAGAGAAATGTTAGGACATAAAGACAAAGCAGACCAATTTTTCCACCATACAAAAAAATTTAATAAATCACTTTTTTAAACCATAAAAATATTTGCAAAACCAGTAATGAACAACATACAACTTGTCACGATATAAATGGTTAGAAGATTCCCTGCTGTATTGGAGGAGAAAAAAAAAAGGCAGTGCGTCATTTTCATCTATAAAACTACTTTATAAAATGCCGTACGATCTAATAAAAATGACAAGTACAAAAAAAAAAGTTAAATGGGGGAAAACAAGTCATTGGGATTAAGACTATATACAGATGCTTTTTATTTCTTTGCTGGTCTTCCTCTTCTGGTTTTTGGCTGTGCCTCAGCCTCAACACTTTTCACCTTGCTTGTGGACTCTTCTGCTGTTACATCAGCGACCCCTCGCCTGGCTCTCTTGACGGGCTGAGCTTCGATGACTTTGTCTGAGAGATCCTTCTCTTCAGTTTTGTCATCGTCCTTTGACACATTTTTGCTTTCAGTGTCAAGTTTGGACTTCCTGCCTCGCGCTGCCTTCACTGGTGTTGCTTTTGGAATATCAAAGACTTCCACATCTGCGTTCCACTTGACGGATCTTTTGGATGTTTTTGTGTCTTCCACAACAGCACTGCTTGACTCTTTGGTGGCATCATCTGCTGTGGGCTTTGCTGCTGCCCGTCTCCCCCTTTTGGCAGGCTCTACTGAAGTTGATGTAGGCTCTGAAACTTCTGCGTTGGTCTCCTTGACAGGAAGAGCTGCACCTCGACGAGCTCTCTTGGCTGGAATGGCTTGGGAAGCCTCATTTTTCGAAGATGTTTTCACCCCCCTTCCCCTGCTTTGTTTAACGACTGGAGAGTCTGGCTCGGCATCTTTCTTCTCTTCAACCTCATGCTCAGGTTTTTCTTCTGGTACCACAGCAGTGACTGCAACTTCTTCAGCAACTTGTTTTCCTCTCCTGCCCCGTTTGACCGCAGGGACCTCAGTAGGTTCGACAGTAGTTTCACTCTCAGTGTCTTGTTTTGCTTTCCGGCCTCCTCTCCTGGGTTTCGCAGCCACAGTAGCCTGTTCATCAATGTTCACTGGTTCAGCAACAAGTGTCGCTTCAGCCTCCTCTGGGACAACATTTTCAGCTGTTTGGACGACTTCTTGTGGTTCTATGTGGTCTTGCTCTGCCTTCTTGGTTCTCCTCATTTTTTTGACTGGCTCCTGGGATTCAGTAGTCTCAACTTCTTCCTTTTTGGCATTTCTTCCCCTCTTAGCCTTAACTGGAGGTTCAGACTGCTGCTTGGTCTCCACGGTGACAACGGTGTCTTCTGCCACCTCATTTTGCTCAACAGTATCAGGTTTCATCTTTCTCCCTCTTTTGGGCTTTGCAACAGTAGGAATGGACTTTTCAGACTGAGCGTCTATCACAACAGACTCGTCACTCACAGCTTCAGTTTTCTCTGGCTCTGGTTGAGATGGCTCAACTGGTGTTTGTTTAGTTTTCCTCCCTCGAACAGGCTTCATGACAGCTTCCTCTACAGAAGGTGCAGGATCACTCTGGTCACTCACAACTTCAATGGAAATCTCAGTCACAGGTGTTGTTTCTGCAGCTGTCTCTGGTACCATTTCAGGTTTATCATCGGAGGTGCTTTCTTGAGACTTTGCATTTCTGCCTCTTCCTGTTTGTCTAACAGCAGGTGGTGCAGCAGCTTCAGCCTTCTTCCCTCGTCTTCCTCTGACTGGAGCAGCAACAACAACAGCATCTTCAGCCTCCTGTTCATCCTCAGCTGCTTCAGGTTCCACTGTTTTTGCCCTTCTGCCACGAACAGATTTCTTTTTAGGGTCAGGATCCGTGGCAGTTGTGTCTATTTCTGTGACTTCTACAGTAGCAGTCTCCACTTTAGGTTGTTCTTCAGATGAATTCTCATCGACTGCGTCCACGTCAGGTTGTTCCACTGGTGAGTTCTTCACTACTGCGTCCACTTCAGGTTTGTCTTCAGAGATGATTTCTTGAGACTTAGCATTTCTGCCTCTTGTCGTTTGTCTTACAGCGGCTGGTGCAGCAGCTTCAGTTTTCTTCCCTCTTCTGCCTCTGACTGGAGCAGAGACGACAGGATCCTCAGAGTGTTCTGCCGCCTCCTGTTTATCTTCAGCCAATTTAGACTCCACCAGTTTCGCCCTTCTGCCTCGAACGGTTTTCTTCTGAACGACAGCAGCATCCATTTCGGTGACTTTGCAAGTGGCTGTCTCCACTTCAGGTAGGCTCTCAGTTACAGGCGTCTGGGGAACAGTTTCCATGGCATCTGATAATTTATTTTCATCACTTGCACTGGGCACCACCTCCAGCTGGTTGCTGCAGACTTCATTTGCATTTGCTTCTGAAATAATAGGAGAAAACAAAGGAGAAATGTTACCTTTACATTTACAGTGGTTAAACTGTCAAACGACTGATTAGTTAAATATAATACGAGTCAGGATTTGTGTGTTTATTGAAGACTGTGCATTTATATGGAAAATGGAGAATGGAAAACCCATTTATCCAAAGTCCCTCCCTCCCTTTTGTTTTAGAGGTCAGAAATAGTTTTAGGTGATTTCAGTTTAGCCCAACAACTCAACAGCATAAATAAAAACAAGAAAAATTAAATACCTTTAGCTGTGTCCATTTCAGGAGCATCCTCACTCTGAGTAATGGGTAAATCTTGCTGCTCTAGCACTGGTTCTTCAGGCTGTTTAGCTCTTCTCCCTCTCTTGGGCTTCACAGCCTTCTCCTGGGGTGATGCACTGTCATTTGCTTCGATGTTGACTTCAACTGGGGGGCTCTGTTCACTCTTAGGTTCTGGCACCATTTCAGTTTCAGCGGCTACCTCTTGGACGGTTTCCACTTGATCATCAGAAGCTTTTCTTCCTCTTCTAGCTTTAAGGATTGGTTTGGAAGGCAGAGAGGCACTTTTCTTCTCCGTGACCTCAACATCATTGCTCTCTTGAGACTTTGCATTTCTGCCTCTTGTTGTTTGTCTAACAGCAGGTGGTCCAGCAGCAGCAGCTTCAGTTTTCGTTCCCCTTCTTCCTTTGACTGGGGTTGGAGCAACAGGTTCTTCAGAGTGTTCTGCTGCCTCCTGATTATCATCAGCTGGTTTAGACTCCACCAGTTTCGCCCTTCTGCCTCTAAGAGATTTATTCTCAACAATGGCTGCATCTGTTTCGGTGACTTTGCAAGTCTCCTCTTCAGGTAAACTCTCAGTTACAGGTGCCTGAGGAGCAGTTTCAATGGCAGGTGGTGCTGTAGCTTCAGCTTTCTTCCCTCTTCTTCCTCTGACTGGAGCAGAGACGACAGCATCTTCAGGTGCTTTAGGTTCCACTGTTTTTGCCCTTCTGCCACGAACAGGTTTCTTCTTAGAGTCAGGATCCGTGGCAGTTGTGTCCATTTCTGTGATTTTTCCAGGAGCAGTCTCCACCTCAGGTTCTTCCACAGGTGAATTCTCATCTACTGCGTCCACTTCAGCTTGTTCTACAGGTGAACTATCGTCTACTGTGTCCACTTCAGCTTGTTCTACAGGTGAACTCTCGTCTACTGCGTCCACTTCAGCTTGTTCTACAGGTGAACTCTCATCGACTGCGTCCACTTCAGGTTTGTCTTCAGATAAAGTCTCATCCACTGTGTCCACTTTGGGTTGTTCCCCAGATATCTCATCTACAGCTGGTTCAGAGAGAGGTTCCGAAGCACCTGATGATTCGTTATTATTGTGTCCACTTGGCACCTCCTCTACGTGGTCATCAGCGACAACTTCTTTTGCATCTTCTTCTAAAATAATACAAAAACAATTATAAGAATACAAGAAAAATAAGTTGTGGTAGTTTTTAGCTGTTGAAATACTTGCATCAGGTTTTAGACATGTTTTGACAATAGGGTTCCATAGGAAGTATTATTTGTGCTATGGTTCTTTCAGGCAGTCCAACAAAAGCAACGTAAAAATGTTTAAGAGCAGAATTTCCATATCTTCAAGGTGTATCAATACAAACAATTCCAATAATGTTAGAGACAGCACATCTCTAAAAGTCTGTTTTCAGACATTGTTAAACATTATCTTATTGTACATAATTTTAACAGAACAAACCAATTAAAATAGCCAACATACCCTTTTCTATGTCATCATGGAGAGCAATCACATCTGATGGGACATCGCCTCGTGGCTCCTCGTGGGCAAAGTCTAGTTCTACATGAGGAGAGAAGACAATAAAACCACAGAAATGATCAGCTCTTCATTGTAATGCAGCTTACATAACAACCCCCCCCCCCCGTGAAGTCATTCATTACTCATCTACCATTATAGTTATCAAACTTAAGAACCAACTCACCTTTTGCTGTGCCTTCTTCACAATCCAGAGGTGTTTCATCTTCTACCTGCTAAAAAAATAAATCAAAAACAATTTCGACGATGAGCATTCACTTTGAAGTAATCCATGCAGATAACAAATATCTCATGAAGCTTGATAAAATTTAATATTGTCAGTCTGTTGGTACACAGATTTTGATGTCTACAGATCTGTGCTGATGAAAAACGAAATATGCCTAAATGTTTACTCGTGTTTTATCAAGGAAATGACTGCAGGAAACTGCAGTTTGCTCAACTGTGAGTACCTGACACTCATGTTTAAGCTCTGAACCAAACTCTTTTTTCATATTCATTCAATTGACTTTCTGCAATGTGAAAGAATTGCTAATATTAACAACCCCAGTAAGAAGCTTTTTGCAGTGTTCGGTTCATTGTTTGCTTTGTCACATGGCTGAATCCAAACTATTCCTATTAATGATCACACTTTAGCTGTCAGTCGCTGTGAGAAAAAAATAATAATTCAAACTAATCCTTCTGATAAAATAATGAAAAGTTGATGCACATGCTTCCACTACCTCATTTGTCTCCAGTTGTCCTGTGGCTTCAGTCTGTGGAGCAGATTCTTGCACTTGGTCTGGTGTCTCCATAAGTTCCTTCTCATCATCCAAACTCACATCAGCAGCCTCTAGAGCTTTGGGAGTTTCTACAGGTTTTTCTTGAAGGTCTTCATGAGATTCAGCTTGTTGTTGGGGGGTGTTCAAAATGCTTTTAACTCCAGTAAGGCACTCTTGTTGTCCCGCCTCCTGTTTGGGAGTTGTCAGAAGTTCCACTCTGATGTCCTCCATAGGTTCAGCTTCCCGTTTTGGAGTTTCCATCATCCTCTTTACTCCGGTGAGACACTCTTGTTGTTCAAGTTTCTGCTTGGGGGTTTTCAAAACCTTGCCTCTCAGGTCCTCAATGGGCTCGGCTTTCTGTCGTGGGGTCTTCATGATCCTTTTCACTCCAGTGAGACACTCCTGTTGTTCAGGTTTCTGCTTTGGAGTTTTCAGAAGTCTCCCTCTCAAGTCCTCAACAGGTTCAGCCTTCTGCCTTGGTGTCTTCATGATCCTCTTCACTCCAGTGAGACACTCCTGTTGCTCAGGTTTCTGCTTTGGAGTTTTCAGAAGTCTCCCTCTCAAGTCCTCAACAGGTTCAGCCTTCTGCCTTGGTGTCTTCATGATCCTTTTCACTCCAGTGAGACACTCTGGTAATTCTGGCTTCTGTTTGGGAGTTGTTTGAGAGGTTGTCTTCATATCTGTACACTGCTGTTCGCCAGAATCATCAGAGTGAATCTCCAAGGCAGGGACATCACTGACGAAGCTAGATTCTTGATCATCATTAAGGAGGCGTTGGACTGCCTCACTGTTGTATTTTCTGTCTTTTACTGTGGATGCAACACTCAGTGGAGACACCATCATCTCGCCTGTAAAATTAGGCACATTTAATTACCTAACAGGCTTAATCTGACAAATCCCTTAGCCTAAGTGATTAAGTAGAACACAAATTTAATGGTTTGTGCTGTGGTATTGTTTGTTTTGAAAGAACCACTTTACCTGGCTCCTCTGGTGTGTTCAACACTGATGGCTCTACCACAGATGTGCCCAGAGCTCCCACTGGTGTCTTTGTGGCATTGTCCTCATTGATCACAGATCTCCTTTTCCTTTCATTTACTGGGGTTTTAAACATTTCAGAAATTCCTGAAAAACACAACACACAATATAAGTAGGTACAATATTGAAGTCCAGATTACATCACTAACAATGGTTGTTTTCCATCTCTACAAAACAACAACAACAACAAAAAAAAAAAAGGTAATTACCAGTCAAGTCCTCATCCATTTTCATGTTCCTTTTAAGGAGAGCAGTATTGGTGACCAGTCTTGGTGCAGCACCAGTTGCATGTACGACCCTTTGTTTGTGAGCTCTGCCCACAACAATAGTAACAGGTGAATCTGCATGTCCAGTGCTGAAATGGCCTTGGATTTTTCTTGCAGGGGTCTGAGAAGATTGAGATGGACATGTTGATTGCTGTTTTTAAAATGCTACTATGACAACAAGATATAAACCCATTACAGTAACAGTTGACATGCAGGCTGAGTATAAAATAATGAGGGTTAATCTTCACTGAACAGGTCCTGGATAGTTGCAGAGACTAGGGAAAAAACACATAATTTTACAATGACGTGAATGTCCCCTGTAGTCATTACAGTATCATAGTTTACCTGTGGTTTGGGCACAGTCTTCTTCTTTGTCATTTTGGCGACTGCTTTTTTAGCTGGAGCAACCACTTGAGCCTTAGGTTGACCAAATTTCACAATGTTTGCCCAGGAATTTTTGGCTTAAGGAAACAAGCAAAAGAAAAACATACAAATTAAAATACCATAGGTAAAAAACAACAACATGAAGACATTTTCATCATCAGTCAGACACTGACAGGACTACCACTTCCCCGTTCTCAGTTTAATCATAAATGACAAAGATATCATAAGACATGTTTAAGTCAACTCAATGGTTAAAACTATGCACTGTTTAAAAATATAAATGTTACCATTTGATGCATGGTACCAAATTGTAGTTTAGAGCTTTCTATTTTGCTCTTCCCACCTCATTCTGCTTAATACACAATCATGCATGTACACACACTTAAAAACAATAACATTTGCAATGTAAGACATGTACTTCAGGGTCTTACATACCTTTCAGGGATGCCCGTGAAATGCCACTTCTTCTGCGCATTACTTTTGCAGCACTTGAAGTTTCTTGTGAGATGCTCTTTCTCCTCTGGGGCATTTTAGTAGTTACTGTGACTGAAGGCACCTGGTCAGTGACAGCATCTTCTGCATTTGGAGATGGTGTGCTGATACGCGACACAGAGAAGCGGCCTTGTACTCTGGGGGTCTGGACTCCTGGTGTTCCACCAACAGTGGGAGACCGTCCTCTTGCAGTAGATGGACTTTTGGATTTTGGTGTCTTTTCAGCAGGTGACGCAGCCTTGGGAGAAGGGGTCCTGGGTTTTGGTGACTTCTTTGCAGAAGATGTTGCCTTGGGAGAAGGGGATCTTGATTTTGGGGATTTCTGTCCTGGAGATTTTGCCTTGGGAGAAGGGGATCTGGATTTGGGGGATTTCGGTCCTGGAGATGTTGCCTTGGGAGAAGGGGATTTGGATTTTGGTGATTTCTTTCCTGGAGATGTTGCCTTGGGAGAAGGGGACCTAGATTTTGGTGATTTCTTTCCTGGCGTTGGAGTCTTAGGAGAAGCATTCTTGGCACTTGATTTCTTAGGTGACGGAGTCCTCATTTTGGCAGGACTTTGCACTTTGGGGCTACCTGGTTGCTCTTCATCGAACTACAAAAAACAAGATCCATTTTAAGTAGGATTATGTGATAATTAACATTTATTAAAGTTGGGTCAAACAATTTGAATCATTATCTTCCACTCAAGTCTTACCTGTAGCGAGCCAATGACTGACGCTCGTCTCAGGAGTGACTGTTTGGGTTTAGACACACAAAAGCTTCTCCGCGGACTGGCCCCCTTGCGTAAGGGAGAGTCAGGAGGCAGACGTTTGTCAAATAACTCAGGGCACAGGAAACCTCCAAAGGAAACCCTTTTCTTCTTTATTTGAGGTGTAGGCAAGTCGGCTGCAAGTTCTCCACTTTTACGTTTTTTGGATGTCTCTTTCACTAATAAATGAATTGAAAACATGATTGTACGTCAGTAACAACAAAACATATGCCAATGTAACATGCTTAAATAATTACTTTAATTTGTTTAACATCCAACTAATCTAAAGAGAAATATAGTATTACAATACTCTTTACCTTTTCCAACTTCAACTGAGGAACATCCTGAGTTCCTTGGGGAACGCTTCGTTTTGGGAGAAGTCACTGCTTGCGCTTCCTGTTCCTGAGTCACTGCAGGTTTGGCCTCCTTGCTTCTCCGTCTCAAAGGTGATTTGGGTGATTGAGCAGTAACTTGCTCAATAACCTCACACGCAGTATACCTCTGGGGGGGTGTACGGATTCTCTTCTGAGGTGAAGTTGCTTCAGACTTTTCGGCTTTCTCAACTTCAGGTGCGGCCATCTCAGTAGAAGGACCCTGGGAGGACCTCCTCTGCTTCTTAACAGACTTTGGGGTTCCACCACTTGTGTTTTCAGCCCCCTTAGTTTCATCAGCTCCAGGACAGACTTTAGCGTCATTCTTCTGAGGAATGCTTTTATCTTCGGTGCAAGTGACAGGTTCATCATTTTTCCTGACTGAAGCAGGTTTTGGAGTGCAAAACCTCGAGGTGGGTGTTTGAAGCAAACTGGCAGAAGATTTCCGAGGGGTCTTGACATCCAGAGATTTTTTGATCATTTGATACAGGTCGTTGAAGGGAGAGGCAGTTTTGCCTTCCTCTTTGGGCTCCACCTCCAAAGTTTTTTCCAGGGATCGCTGGATGTTGTCATGGTTAGTTCCATCTTTCAGATGAGGATCTAAAATAAGCCAAACATAAAACTTAGTTTAAAAAAGGCTTGTACACTTGATAACATAAAATAGGAGACTGGAGAAAAACTACAGGCACCAAATCCCTGTAGCTACTTGGGAGACAGGGTGCTTGAGTAGGGCTGCAAAAACATATTCATTGACCTGTCAGATGTTTTATAGGCTGAGCTAAATATGCAAAAATGACTGTAACTTATCCATTTGACAGGCTGTTGACCACTGTAACTCTAAGTTATTCAAATTACATTTTTCTTTCTCTATGTTTTAAAACATTTGATCAGATTCAGTTCTATAATGTCTATTCACCAACAACAGAAATACCAACTCTGGGAATGTAATACACTAATAGTTGATGTGCAACATTGTCTTCAAATACAGCACAATCACTTTTCTAATTTATAATGAACACTATCAGTCTCACCTGTGGATACTTCAGAGATCCTTTTATCTCCAGTTTCAGAGGTAACTGTGTCCCCCACTTGCTGATCTTGAAGAACCTAGGCATGAGACACTTTTATTAACAGATATATAAAATAATCAAATTTATCCAGAGCGGAGGGAAATTCACACTAGTGGGATGACAGAAATGATCTAATGATAAAAGATAATAATGTGTAATTTACTTTGAGAGTCTCAGCTTTGCCTCCTGTGGAAGACCTCTTCTTTGGTGTGGGTGCTGGAGGGTACTCAAACCTGAAATGACAATTAGCAATACATCTAAGTAAGACATTATTTATCTGTCATGAAAATTCTAACATCTGGGAAGTGGGACCATGCATTTTCCCTTAACATTGCATCCGGTATACGTGCTCAACAAACACATTATGTGGGTACTTCAATTTAATTTTCTTTCAACGTGTTCTTGGAAGCACAGGTTTATATAAGGAGAGGTGAAACCATTAATAAAAACAAACACGGTGAATGCAGGGACACATAACTGGAAAACTCTTGTAGAAACAATAGAAACAGCATTTGCAGCTGGTGAGGAAGATATATTCAAATGGTATGTTGATTATGGAAATGAAAATGGTGTGTGGTCTGGTGGTAGCAGATTATGCTTAAATCTTAAAGTTCTATCAAAAGTAAATACACGGCACATGTATTGTATGTTTGCAGTTAATATTTGTTGTTTAAATTTACCTAGGTACAAATTAGGCTTTTGAAACAAAAGGATGCTCTTGGAGGTCATATTACTTAACATTCCACTGTATAAAATTTAGGGGGACTTAGTAATATCTAGCGGCGAGCATAGCACATTGCAACCAGCTAAAACTTCTCCCACTTAAAGTTCCTGCAATGTTATTGTTCAGGAGGTATTTACTGGAAGCCCAATTATCCACAGTTCTCTTTCTCTACATGAGCAGGTGATTAAAACTTGTAATAACACCAAATAAAGCTGTTTCATATAAAAAATAAATAAATCTGTTTTTCCCGACACATTGCTTGTCGCTGGATGGGCTGCTAACTATGGTGGCTGCCTTGACAACATGAATGGCCCTATTTAGAGCCTGTGTTTGGTTTGTCAGTTATGGGCTTCTCTAGAAACACGAGGAGCCGACATGGTGATCTCTGTGGACAAGGACCTGATCCCTGTGTAAATATATTCAGCTCATTCTAAGGCAACAAAAACACAATTCTTATTTTCAGGTAATTATACAGTAAAGAAAGCATGTATTACTTTCCATTTTTGCCAATATGTCCCCCGAAATCCAACACACTGGACCTTTAACAAAGTCATGTGGTGACTACGGAAGGCAAAAGTCTGAAGCAACAAAATATTTACTTCGCACTCACCTGAAAGAACGGTCAATAATAGTTATCACATCTCCATGTTTCAAACGTTCAGACTGCTGCAAAACCTCTCCGTTGACACGAGTTGGATTCACAGAGCTCAAATTTGTCAAAATGATCTAGAAGAGACAAATATAAACATCACCTCAAACACAGTCTGACAAAGCAGCTCAAAGCAGAATACAAGTGTCAGCTAGGCTTTTAAATCTATCTAGGCCAAGATTTCCCTCTGTGAATTCACAAGTGATTTAAGCAATGACACTTCTTTTGCATCCACAAAATTAACTTTTTAATGATGAAAACATGAAGACATTAATGTAACTATTCAATAACAGTTCCTTATTATTCTAGATATCATATAAGGTTGAAATACTGTGACAAGTTAATGTGGTCATGGTCAAAATGTGCTGTTACCTCTTTATTTTCATTCAAGTCAATTCTGCAATGCTCCTTGGAGACTTGTGGAAGCTGAATACGAATATCGCAATCAGGCTTCCTGTAAGATAATAAAGAAACAAATGTGTCAACAAAAGAGACAGTTAAAATGTAAGTGGTACTTGTTCATGAGCAGCAAATGAAATGTTCTATGGTCTAAAAGGGTGAACTTGTGAACTGGAGTTTTGACTACACAATCAGGAGTCAGTTGTACTTGATTTAAAAACAGGGAACAAACATGCAAGATTCTGACGTCACTCACAGATGGCCCGCCTCCAAACCAGTGGAGTTTTTATAGCACAAGCACATCTGTCCTCATGTCCACATGAGGCCACACATAGTAAATGTGGCCTCTAACACAACATGTGCATGTTTTCAGTCTGATATCTTAAAAGGCAAAACTAGTGCCATTAAGATGAGACAAGAGAAAATAAAGGAGATTTAATTTGACCACATGACATGGAAAAATCAACATTATATCCACCAAATGCATTTTATTGAACTCACCTTCCAAATAAGCATGTTGCAGTAAGAGGAAACTCAGTCCCATCTCCTCCACTCCTCTTCACCACGACTATTTTTCCATGCAAAGGCATTTTCGTAACGTTACCTGGGAACAATGGCAAACATAGGTGTCAAACTTAACAGAGCACTAACTAGCTTAACAACAACGTCGTGTTAGCATTAGGTAAACACAGGTACATTTGTGTAGTACATAACGTTAACGTTTTATAGTCAGAAAGTAGATTCACAGAAACATTAATCTAAGTGGAAGCAATATATGTGCGGGGAAAGGGCATGTCTATGCTACATGTTAACGTTACTTTAAACGTAAGTTGACTCGATTATTGAAGTTAGCTAGCGATGTTTTTAGCCAATACTATATTTTACGTCGACGTTGTGTTCATTTGTTTCAACTCAGTAACGTTAGATCGTCGTTAGTGTAAGTTAAATCACAATGCTGACAATTCTGCGACATCCCACGTGCAATGTCGCCTCGATAGTGACGTTATAATATTGTCAGAAATTAACGTCAACGTAGAAAATACCTCAAATTACAGTAGCACCTAACTTAACAATAAAACAAGACACTTTTCAGTGAGACCTGTAACGTTAACACCAAGTTAGCTAACCCTGGCTTATGGTGGTCTCGACTATACGACAGACTGAAAAACATTTGCAGGCATCGTTAGCCTTACCTGGAAGTCCACTCAAAGACACGTCAGCTTCTGGCAATCCATAAACATCGACCGGGATGTGGCAAAGAGGAATTTTACTATATCATGTCAGAGTAAACCTACATTGATACCTTACCATACCCTACGATGTATACCGACGAGTGGCTAACGTATGCTACTTTGAACAGCCGTCATTGATGTCTCGCCGTGGGTGCCGTGGTATCACTCCGCCATACTAGAAAAATACAGTAACCTCCAGAGAAAAACAAAAGTCGGATTAACTGATGTTTTGGGGTCAAATATATATGTTTTGTTTATTTTGCTGCTTTTTAAACTCCAATTTCCTTCTCGGTAACAAATTGAACTCACGTCTACATGTAAGGGACTATTTTGTTTATGAGTATGGCGGAGCAATTTCACTACGGTAAAGGGAATCTGATTTGAAAAACGTTTGAAATTCCGCGCGAACGATTGTGATTGGTTGAACGTCACAGCTCGGTAAGAGGGCGGGGCTTGGCTTCTCAAGAGCCCAGACAGCTATATCCTTCATGAAAATCAGGTTTGGCATTTGTACTGCTGTCCAGAGATTTAAAAGATATGTTTTAACAGTTATAATTATGTTCCTATTTTTCCACCAACCTCTGTAAGATTTTTCATAAACATCAACAGGCTCCAGCTGAATGGATATTTTTTAGAAACACCCACAGCTAAATCCTATGCACTGGTTAACGCCTTGAATCACAGCATTGAGCAGCCATTATTTGTAGTACTCTTTTTGTTAAACACAATCAGAAAAAAGCACAGGTGTCATTAATCAATGAGGGCCATATTTTAACATGTATTAAAGTTTCCCCGGGCCCTCATTTTATGTATACTGCTTTATTGGCCTGAACAGGGACATCATTAATGCTATTAATTACACCTGTGCTTTTTCTGCTATGTCTGTGTTAGTGAAATATATTTATAAACCCCTACTTGCAACATTATGCTCTTAAAATAAATCTGTTAATAAATCGCTGGTGGGAAAAGAAATTATTCAGTTGAAATAATTGTTTGTGCAATGCAGTCAGCAGTGGTTGTAAGATTAGGTGTGCCAACTAATTTGAAAGCGATTCATTATAGGCCTGAAGTCAAATAGAGATTTGTGTGCCTGAGTCTAGTGCACATCATCAAATAACAATTAGTTTTTGATCTTATCAAACAATAATTAAATACTCAGTGTACTGTGCACTATATAGTAGAGCTAAACCTCATTCAACAATGTGTAAATCTAGCCAGGGCTTGGATCAGGTGGCAAAGAGTTTCAGTTTCATGTAAATTCCTCTAATATATTCCGTCATTCTTATTTGTGAATGAGCCCATGTAAATTCTGCTAAACAGCGGCCACTATGGCCACAAATGACAATTACAGGAGGATGGCAATTACTTACATTTTAAGTCATACATTGGGAAATTTTTTTTGCTAACATTAGCCACCTTAAACTACTGCTTAAACTGGACCGGACCTTTTACACCAAATTAGGTCTGAAACCCATTTATTTTTGGCTCGAAATGCTCCAAACAGAACCCATTCTATGTTGGTGGAAAAGGGGTATCGTATTCATTTGAGCATGGGTGTGTTTTACTGCTTACAAATACAGCTTTTCTGAAAAAGGATGTGTTATTTCATTCTAAAAAGTTACAGAGTTTCCATTTAATGCAACCTTAATGCTGATTTTGGTTTAGATATTTTGTCATACAGATTTTTGGTCTGTTATCTATCCAGCAGTGGGTGATGGCAAATGTGCCAAAAGTGACTGCCTTCTGATTTACCCTGAACTTCTTTCCATGCATATCCCCCTGAGACCCTGTGTCCTCATACGAGGACATCACATTTTGGGTTTACTTGGCCTTACACTTCATTCTACTTAACTTAGACCAGTTGTGCTCGTTCGTGGACAGTTTTTTGTGCCATCTAGTGGCAGTAAGACCACAGTACACCAAAAAACAAGATGGCAGCCATCTCTGCCAAGTCTGCAGCCGACCCTGACACAAAAGTGGACAAGGTCCCAAACCTGATCACATTTTATGGTTGAAACTTGTTTATTTATGATTAATAATGTTTGTAGTATGACTCGCCCTACAAATTTTACCAATGTTAGCAACGGTTACAACGAAGACATAAGGAATTTATCATCAGCTCATTGAAGGACATTGGGACTTTGTTATCGTCTTGTTTGAGGATATAGGGACTAGGGACTATTATCGTTGACAGTGTTTTGTTTTTTATACTTACCAGGTCCTACTAATCCCAAATAGCTTGGAGAAATTGAAAATGCAAACCAAACAAAAGTTCGGGTCTCAGGAGGATATGGTACATAAAAAAACCTACTGAGGACACCCCTCTAGGACAGAAAGAAAATAATCACACACGTGAACAACGCAAACACATTTAATATTAAATGTTGGTTTTATTTTTTAATCTTTTTTTGTTGTTTTTTGTTTTTTTTTCCAAAGTCGCTTGATAATCTTGACAAAATTGCAACATATTCCATACTTCTCAAACTGACGGTGTGTCTGTTCCTATTCCAGATTAGCTGTGGAGGGAAAAGTTGTGCGCTGTTCTGGACAGGTGAAGTCCTAAATGATGAAAAGCAGCTTTGACCGTACAAATAAAAAGAACACATGAACGACTCAGAGAGACTCCACACTGGCATCCTATGTCGTAACGTTGCTGGGGGGTCAGGGGTTAAGTGTCTCTCTGCATAAGTCCTGGTTTTGCCAGGCTGAACGAAAAAAAAAAAAAAAAAGAGTGACTGAAGAAAAAATTCAGGGGCTCAGTAGCAGAAGTGTGTATGTGTGTATCTGTGGAGGGTTAAGGGGGGTGCAGCACAGAACATAGAACAGGCCAAGCACACAAAATGATTCCTTCCTGAGACATTGGCATGTGTACAGTAATGATGGTCTGGATGAAACGTGTGTGTTAACGGTGAAGGCGTTTTGGTGTAAAGTGAGTCACAGGGTGTGAGGTTGCTCTGGATCCGGCATAAAGTCACATATTTGTTTCTACCACAGGTTGCCAGGGGGGAGATTTGTGAGGACTTGGTTGACAAACATCACATTTGGGACCTTCACTTGCCTGACCACTGACAGAGCAGAGGCATCACTACAATCTATTCTTTTCCCATCCACGACAGATTATCGATCCATTCAGAGGCTACTGAGAATCACTTGTGTTTAATACAGTGTGTATGTACACCAGTCTTCACATTTTTAACTCTCTCTTTGAAGCTGCGGCTCACTTGAACTCGGCGGGCGACAAGTGGCATCCGGTTCACCATTTTCAGAAACACCATCTCTTTCTGCTACATGGCCAAAAAAAGCTATGCCCCGACTGGAGTGCTACTTTGTCATCTACTGTATGTAAAAACATGTTTTTAAAAGTGAAGGGCGGGGGGGCGGGGGGGGGGAATTGTCTGTGAAAGCCACATTCTGAACAGCCAGTGATTGGTTAAGGGTCTGTCCAGTATTTAGTAGGACACAAAACATGAAAGAACTTCCTTCAGTAAAATGTGCTCAAAATGTCTTTTCTTGCATCACAAACCTATAAACAAAACACATAAAAGGTATTCTTTAAAAAAAAAAAAAAAAAAAAAAAATCAGGTGAAGCCTAAAACTCTTCATAGTTTTAAAGAAATGAATACAGCTTATATACACAAACTCAAAGGCTACTTAAAATACACCTTAATAATGAATCTTCATTAATTTTGATTTCTTGAAAGGACCTGTGACCATATCATACAACCATGTTCATACAATCATTTTTTTCCATTCTCTTGGAAGCAAGAAAAAAAAACAAAAACAAACAAAAAAAAAAACAAAGAAAAAAAAAAGGAAAACAAATCCAACCTGGAATAGTAGGTGATATTCATCGCGACTTGTTTTCTGTGCACATTTGTTTATGTTTGTTTGTTTGTGTGTGTGTTTGCATGTGTGTCGGCTGGAGAGAAATTTCAACATCTTTTGCTTTTTGTTAATTAGAATAATGTACAAATGTGATAAAACTGAAAGGTCTCTCTCAATACTCTAGATGGGCATGAAAAGATTCAAACAGTGAAGGAGTACAACAATTTCTAATCTCAGAAAACATGTCCTCGTTTCAACCTGCCGCTCTGCTCTGGACATGTCGATCACAATAGTTCCTTAACTTTTTCTATATATATTTATATATCTTTTTGTACGAAATCTGTTTTTTTCGAAGTTGGAAAAAGAGAAAAGACCCAGAGTCTTTGAGGAGGGGGGGTCTTTTGACAAGTCCCAAGCTTGCAGTCTGCCTCAGAGTACATCAAAAAAAAGTGTCTGGTGTTCGTCAAGTCAGTCTGTATGCATCGTCCTTGATCGTATATTTGTCCCACGGTGCTCCACCCGCTCTCAGTTCCATTCGAAACACCTCTCCGCTGCATCCAGATTTGTTTCCATTAGTCTTTTGGAGAAAGGTGGAGAGGGGAGGAGCAGCAGTGGAGGGAAACGTGGAGGGAGAAGGAGGAGGAGTCATCAGCAGTGTTTACGGTGTGGTCTCTCAGAGGCATCCTGTTGCCCCGACCTGCTCCGGCCTTACCTCCCCTCACGTCAGGGCGGTGCTCCAGAGTGAGGGGAAAGCAGATCAGGAGGTGGGGAGTTGTGTTGTAGGAGAGGCTGGAGGTTGGCTCTGCCAGTCTCCTGTGTTCAGCAGTCAGGGTCAAGGCCCCCCGCCCCCTCCTTCGCCCCTCCTCTTTAGAACGTCGTGGGAGGAGACAGAGAGCATGGTGAGGAAAAATAAAATGGTGGGGCCGCTACTACGGCGATTGTGTGGCTGGACTGCTTTGGGCAGAGCTGGGGGACAGACTGGGGCTGCAGCTGCCTGGTGGGGCGCCACTGGGCCGGCCACCTGCGGCCCCGCTTTCCAGACCTTCTGAGTTCTCCAGCATCTCCTGGATGAGAGGGGGCATGGAGCCGGGGATCTCCATCTTCAGGGTGATGACACGCTCAGCTCCTGCAGGGAGGGATGGACAAAATACATTTTAGGTATTTGTTTCTTCTCTTCAACACAGTTTAAACTATGTGAAATTGAGAACCATAAGCAAAACTGAATGTGTAGAAATTAGACGACTAAAATGTTATTTATCATCAAAATTAACAACAATATTTCAGCATAGGTTTGCTTAATCACAGCAAAAATCATCTTCCCGATTATTATTCCCTTCATCAACTTATCTGTTTTAACAATATGCACATATAAACACTGATGGTTAGTAACAGACCTTTAGCACTGATGCTTCTCAGATCAGTGATCTTCATCAGCATCTTGGGGAACATGTGCGGTTTGTGGGGCCTCCTCCTCCTTACGTAAATCTTCAACGCCTCCAGAAGGGGCTCCTGCAGGATGTCCACCTTCTCCGCTTGTTCCAAGTCTTGACGATCTGTGGAGAAACACACAAGTCCAGAACCAATTGTGTCAATAATCTCCCAATGTCATAATCACATTTAGCCACTAGGTGGAGCTCTATGAAAGAGCACAGCACAGCCACATTACTGCTGCTTCACCCACAGACAGGGGTGACACTCAGTCCAGCTCATAGCTGTAGTAAACTTTAGAGAAATGGTCAGTAAGTTTTGAAAAGACGTGTAATACCTCCACACAGCAAACAGATGGCGCTGAGAAGCCCCGTCTCTGCATCATCCATCTCCAGAGGAAGGAGCTGGTTGGCGAAGGCAAAAACCAGGTCTGTAAGGGGACCGAAGCCTGCGTTGTGCATCTGGGTTCGGTTTAGCGTGAGACCATCTGAGAAAGTCATGGTGTCTTGCTCTGGTGTGTAGCGTGTACAGATCCGGAGTATCTGGGGACAGATTCACAAAACAATTGCTTAGAAATCTTAACCACTCCTATAACTCTGCTTCTGTTAAAAAATCTCTTCTGTGATATTTTGTGAATATAGCAATGCTGGACTGTTGTTATTACCAGGATATCCAGACAGGCGGCTTTGAGCAAAGTGATCTGGTCGGCAATGGTGAGCGTTGTGAAGCCAGGCAGCTGCTTAGCAAACTCCACCGTCTTTATGATGCACTTGGTGGAGAGTTCGCTGAACTTGTCCCACAGGTCTACGTCCAAGGATACACGTCGTTCTGAGCTGTTAGTCTGGAAGGAAAGGAAGAGGCGAGGAAAATATTAGATATTTCAGTGGCTATAAACTACAGCTAACAAATACAGGGACACACAGGTTGCCGGTGTCTTGTTACTGACCGTAGTGTATTTGCCCAGCTGGCAGAGAGAGGGGAAAGTTTCCTGGTGCGCCTTGCGAACCCTGTCGATCATCCGCTCTGTGTCAGGACTCAGCACGTAGCTCTCTGTGCACTCCTGCTTCTTCTCATCCTTTTTCTTCTTATTCCGGTCGTTTCTCACGGCTGCAGGGGGCAAAGGAGACGGGCGGAGATCATTAATATGCGTGAAAGAAACTTTTGGCCTAAGTGACAAACTTGACCTCTTGACGAACTTTACGTCTACGCTTCGAATAAAGTAGTTCGTACTGTATCTCGGTGACATGTTTAGGAAATCACTACTGAAAAACCTGCAGTGTAGACAAAACTTTTATGACCTTTGTCAGCCAGTTGAATCTGTATTGCTATATGTCACGCAGCCTATATGCCCCACATAAGCACTACCACAAGGTAAACTGACATTGAGATCAAAGGCAAAGTCATCAGCAGGAAAAGATGCTCTGTCTGCAGCAACCAGCAGCAGCAGCAACCACAGCATCACTTCTCTCATCCTGTGCTGTAAGATAAATGTTGTGAGATGGCTCCATCGACGAAGGGCTATGGTAATGGAGGGAGGGGGGGGAAAAAACCTTGAAATAATCCAATGTGGTTTCCCTCTGGGCGATCTGGCTGAGAATAGTGTGCTCACCCCAAATGACAAAAAACACTAGGCGGGGTGTTTAGCATTGGAATCCCATTACAGGCTCCATCCATTTCTCCAAGCCCATCCAGACTGGGGTGCAGTTTAGCTACGACTGGGTTGTGTATGTGTGTGTGTTGAGGGTGGGGGTGGGATGGGTGAGACGGGGTGCTAGTTGATAAATAGTGGTGGGGGATGGAGCTATCCATAAGGCTGACAAATTGCCACAGCTTTCATTAGGGGTCCCGGCTAATCTAATAACATAATATGACAAATATCCTGCCTCTAATGGTTTTAAAAGGGCTCGGCTGCTGAGCCCATACCGGAGAAAAAAACCTTCCAGCTTTCTCTCTCTCACGTCTCTCTCTCTCTTGGTTATACAACACACGCTCTCCTCACTTCATTCTCACCAATGCACACTATCTCCCCTTTCCAAAATTGTGTTTCCTGCGCTTTAAATCATCCCACTTTCCTAAACTCATCTCTATCAGTTCTCTCATCTCTACCTCCCCTCCAGGTACCTGAATCTCCCCCAGCCGCTGACCTAAGATCAGATTTTCCTTGTCTTAATCCCAACCTTGACCATTAAGGGTGAGAGCGCTCAGGCTGATGGGAGATCAGTGTCTGTGACAGAGGGGCATGGCCTGGGGCCAGGGAGGGATGCACTACTCAGTGCTGTTGCTCATCCATCAGCCCGCAGACAGGCCTCCCTGCCTGGGAGAACATGAAGGGAAGGAGGAAGGAGGGGGCTGGAAGTCTAATGCTGCACTATGTTATTGCTAAGCACTGCTCACCACAACAAGAAATGAAGAAGACCCTGCTGTGCAGATGGAGCACGGTAATGCATTATTTGCCTGCGTTTTATTGGTACTCATGCGGTAGGCTGGTGTAGTCACCAAAACACCTGTTCAGTAGGAAACAATGCCGTAAAGTGGGACTATATTACACAGGATGTTATCGCAGGCAGATTATAAGACAATGGGCCCCTGGGCACAGGCATGCAGACGGCCCCATCACCTCTCCTAAACAGGAGCAAGACACAGACTTTGTGCTGGCTGTGCCTCTTTTTGTTTTTGTCTTTGTAGCTGTTTTGTGTTTTTTTGTATTTGTTTTCTGCCTCTTGAAGTCATTTTGTGTCTCTTTGAAGTATATTTGTGTCTCTTTGTGGTTCCTTTGCATGTCTTCATGGCCATTTTGTGTCTCTTTACAGGTCAGTTTGTGTCTCTGAGGTATTTTTGTATCTTTTTTAGGTCATTTTGTGTCTCTTTGTAGTCGTTTTGTGTCTCTTTATAGTTCCTTTGCATGTCTTTGTTGATGTTTCGTGTCTTTTTACAGGTCATTTTGTGTCTCTTTGTAGTTCCTCTGCATGCCTTTGTTGATGTTTTGTATCTTATCACAGGTCAGTTTGTGTCTTTGAGGAATATTTGTATTTCTTTAAGGTCATTTGTGTCCCTTTGAAGATGTTTTGTGTCTCTTTTTGGTCATTTTGTATCTCTTTACAGGTCAGACTGTGCCTCTGAAGTATAGTTTTTGGTCATTTTGTGTCTCTTTGTAGTCGTTATGTGTCTCTTTATAGTTCCTCTGCATGTCTTTGTTGGTGTTTTGTGACTCATCACAGGTCAGTTTGTGTCTTTGAGGAATATTTGTATTTTTTTTAGGTCATTTTGGGTCTCTTTGTAGTTCCTTTGCATCATTTTGAGTCCCTTCCTTGTCGATACTGAGTGACATTTTGCAGGTGAAGGCCAGGAGGCCCCTGACACTTTGGGCCCTTAGGCCTGTGCCCAATAGGCCTGTTCGGCAGTCCATCCATCTGTGTTATGATGGGACATTTTATTAATTATGTCAGTGAAAGCAAGCAAAAAATAAATACATTGCTTCCCACTTCCACTTTCTTTAATGAGCTAATCATGCCTTAGTTAGTGAAGGAACACCCTCTTCAGCAGAACTTAAGCTTTAGAGGCCAGTTGCATAAAACAGTAGTAAGCTGCTGAACGTATTTGGGCCAGCCCCGCATGTGGAGCTGATTGGGAATCTGTGTCCTGCCTGCCCATGAGGGGAGGGGTGGAGGGCTGCAATACAGTCGATGTCCAATTAATTCACAAATAAAAGTGGGGCATCCCTAGCGCCCAGACATTACCCGCGCTGACAAATTGGCAGCACAATCATAAGCCGCACAACACAATTTAATGAAGTCATTAAAGAACTATTAGGCACGACTGGCGATCTGTCATGGCGAATTGCCACATGCAATAACTTGGGGGGGGGGGAGGAAGTGTGTGCAGGGGAGCGAAAATGAAAGAAATACTGCCTTGCTTTTTTTATTATGTGTGTGTCTGTGTGTGTGGACTTGAATGTGCATTTGATGTTTGTGTGCGTGCTGACTTCAAGCAATGCATCTTTCAAAATGCATTATGAGAATATGAATGCTAATGGGGGAACTTGCATCCTGGATTGTTTGCGGTTACGTGTTCATTGCATAAAAATGATTTACAAGAGCTGGTGTGTAACGTGCACAGAATACTGTGACAGCGTGCATGCTCAGCCATCACTCAATCATCTGTTCTCGGAGTGGATTTCAGCCGCAGTGTGCAGTTAATAGACAATTTCTGTTAGTGCCTCGGTGTGTATATGTGCGCGTGAGTGTGTGTGTGTGTTTGTGTCTGTATACAAGACAGAGAGAGGTGGGCAAACAGGGATAATTCGTGTGAGGAAAATTAAAGCGCTGGCAGCTCGTCCATCACACAGATTAAATTCAATGGAAAGATAAAAATGTCAATGTTCCCCCTGCTCCTGCTGCTCGCAGCGCAGAGCCACCGTCGACAGTGATGAAACTTTCTCCCTCTCCCTGTCCTCCAGCCTCTCTCATCCCTCCTCCCCCACCCCTCCGCTCTCTCAACTCCAGATTTTCATTCTCGCTCACACTGAGTTCAATACTCTTTCCTCTCACAGCCTTCATCTTTCTCTACTATCCTGCCTTTCCTGGGCTGATGTTATCCTCCCCTTGCGCTGTTCTCCATCATTCTCCGCTTCATCTTATTTTACTTTTATTACTTTTTCTATCGCTGAATAACACCTTCCTCGAGGAACATGTGGGCGATAGCTTTGTGTGTGTGTGTGTGTGTGTGTGTGTGTGTGTGTGTGTGTGTGGGGGGGGGGGTGATAAAGAGAGGGAGAAACGGCTGGTGTGAACTCAGAGACATAAATTCAGTTTCTAGGATTGTGCAACTGAACCATACGATCGTTCCTGATGCACAAAAAAGACTCAAACTGAGACGTGTCAGCAGCGGGAATGAAGTTACTTCGGCTGAAATGTGATTTAAATATGACATTGTGTGTATATGCTGCTGTAGAATCAAGCCATTCCAAACCTTGTACCCAGACTGAAACCTTAGAAAGTTTAATTTGGATATTTTTAAAGGTGAAATTTCAACTCTTATTCCAAAAAAGTTGGGATGCTACGTAAAATGTAAATGAAAACAGAATACAGTGATTTGCAAATCCTTTTGGATATACACTGGGGGAAATAAGTATTCAACGTGTCAATTGTTTTCCATTACATATTTGCCAATTCAGCTGTTCACTTGAAATTTAAACCAGATGTCAGTATCAACTCAATGAAACTACACTATTGAAGAAATCGTAACATTTCAATCCATAAAAATACGTGCAATAAAGTGAAATGACACGTGGAGAAAGTATTAAACATGCTAACTAAAATTAATTTCATACTTGGAGAAGCCAGTTGCAATGCCAGCTTCATGATGTCTCCTGTATGAGGAAACTAATCTCTCACATTGGCCCATTTTATTTTCACTCAGACACTCTTTAAATCTTGAAGATCTCATGTAAGGAACCACTGCACTAGGCAACATGTTTATAACTGAGCCAATACTTCCTAGCATTTCTCATGTTTTAGCCATGTTGCTATGGTTGTAAACTTTCATGACTTGCTGTACGTTAACCTTCATTGTGACCACAAGTCTTAGTCTTCTTTAACCACATGCTGTCAGGTTGATAACAATGTGCCACCAGGCTTACAGGCGTTTCCCTTGTAACCCTCCACTTGCTCCTAACACCCCCCCTCCCTCGTTCTGACGCCGTCTTGCTTGGCATTGCCACCTGGCAGCAGGCCTGGCACTGTCGTCTGGAGCTGTCTGCCGACAGACACAAGGTCACCCAGACGTCCCCCGGCGCTAGCGGGGGGTCCACCTTCTGTGTGTGTGACAGCGAGTGTATGGTGTGTTTAAGTGGAGCTGTCTGAGTGCATTTCTGTTTAAGCAGTTTTATTCATATCAGTTTGTGTTTGTCACCTTGCATGTGCATAATGTGAGCGTGTGCATGAAATTATGCACAAGCATGCATTTTTTTGTGTGCGTGTTCTCTTGTCTGAGTGTGTGTGTGTGTGTGTGTGTGAGAAAGGCAGAGAGACTCCCTGCTGGCCCCAGATGGCCAGCCTTTCCTTCCTCACCGGCCTGGACCAGTTTCACTAGCCAAAGTCACTGCTGAGGACACAAGACGAGCACTCAGCACGCTCTGCACAAAATGGCCGCAATCAGAAAAAGACATTGCTGGTAAACTTTAAGCTGCTGAGCAAAAGTGGCTAAGTCAATTTGATAATAAAATTTCAAGCCTCCACTCCATTCAGAAACCGGCTTTAGCTTTTGCAGTACTACTAAATAACCACTAGATGGCTCTCCAACCCCAGTCTATCCCCTTGTTGTGGGCCCTGTGTGTGTGTGTGTAAAAGAGCCGGCTGCTGTGATCCTTCTAACCATGATTAATGGCCCCATTCAAAGGTAAGGAGCTCAGAGGATAACTTCTTTTACTGTAAGCCACAGTGCTGTGGCATGGGGAGTACTCCCTGCACTCGCTGTACCAGAAAGATGAGGTAAATAGCGCTGGGAAGACAAGAGGCAGGGAGGGATGGAGCAATGGAGGACTGTTGGCATGTGCATTTAAACAGGCCTGTGAGCGGAGGAGAGGCGCTACACTTTCCGTCTGCATATTATTAATCTATTACCAAGCATTTATCAGTATTCACGAGGACAAATGTGTCCCATACACACATTCTGCTAATGTGTAAAATGATAGCAAACGTGTGTATAACCGACTGTGTGTCATGTGATCAGGCTCTGCTGGCCTCTGAGTTCTCTGCGGTCACACCTCTTCCAATTACTTTATCAAGTCTGACTGCCTGCGTGTATGTGTGTGTGAGTGTGTGTGTGTTCACACAGCCCCCGGGGTGCAATGATGGGAGCAGACGCCTGCTCTTTCACTCTCGGCAGGTGAGAACATATTCATCACAGAGGCCTGCCAAGCCTGGCGACACCCTGACTGTTATTGCCAGTCTGCATCACGGCTACCCTTTGTCTCGCTTTTACAGCGGATATTCTCTTACAGATAAAACCTCAAAAAAAAAAAAAAATCAATTAAAGCATCAATGTGCGAGGAATTCTTGGTAACAGCTTTGATTTTACTCTGAATTTGTTTTTTTCTCGGAAAAATGACAGCACAGTTGTAAATAAATAATAAATCAAGCGCAAACGCACACACATGAACTGCCGCCAGAACTGATGTGTGTGTGCATCAATAATGAACGCTTATGCAATGTTGGTAGTGGAACAAATGTCAACAAATGCTGGGGCTTAGGACTTCCTGCAGTGGTAACAATCATGCTAACCCCTCAGGGATTAAAACAACTATGATGAGATCAGTGCGTGGCCCCAAAGAGCCTTGTGGAAGAAGCAGGGAGTTCTGGGTAATGCAGTCCCTTGTATACTTACACTCCTTAGACATCCCGACTTCCAGGCACTTCTGCAGCCGACAGTACTGGCAGCGGTTGCGGGTGACTTTGTTGATAATGCAGTTCTTCTCCCGGTGACAAGTGTACACCATGTTCTTCTGGATGCTTCTCCGGAAGAAGCCCTGTGTGACGGAGAGACGGAGAGGTGAGGAGATGAGGAGAGAAGGCAGGCGCAGACGGATGGGTGGCAAAGGGAGTGTGAGGGAAACAGGACAATCTTAGCAAACAGAGTAGCAAATAGCTAAATGTCATGGCAAATAGAGTTGTATTGTTTGCTGTTGCGTATGTGCATTGGTTGCCTTCTGCAAACTCTCATTGCCCATGTTTACAATGTCCCTTTTCATTAAGTTCTCAACAACAACTAACTTACAAGATGAAATGAATGAAGTTAAAAAGAGGCCATGTGCAACTGCATTCAAAGGGCAATACAGTACCAAACACTTAAGTCCTTAAAAGGCTTACTCCATGGCATAATCCGCACAGTGACTAACAGTCGGAGAAGTATCAGCATCTTCTGAGGTCGCCCACCTGCTCAGAGAGGGCCATCCCAACATTAAAGCTCTTATGAAGATGTGTCAGGTCCAAAGGCTTTTGGGGCAAAAGGCACAGGGTTACTGAGTGCCATATAAGCGTGGCCTAGTTTACGCAGCCAGAAATAAGCAATTCTAGATCCAGGCCAAGCGCGTATTATTAGAGAAGGAGAGACAGAGAGAGAACATAGGCTGAACACAATGTTGTGTAAGAACAAAAAACAAAAAGGAATCCCTCTTTTCAATCTGACTAGATCAAAGAAAAGACATTTAAATATATAGTCCATGTGGTGGAGGACAAATTATAATGAGCTCATCTTTGGTCACTGAGCTGGAATGAGAGATCTTTGGGGAGGCTAACTATGTTTTGATCGCACAGGAGCAAGACACAGAAACAGAGGACAATATCTCTCCCTAATAGATATGATGAAAAGCATCCGAACTTCTGTTGTCCTCAATACCAACTCCAATAAAGCCGATGTTAACCTTTGTGGCCTCGTTGCTTCAACATCCCTTGTGTGTCAAAAAGATAAAAAGAGGTTAATGCAAATCAGCCACTGAGCGCTCCGGACACATGTGATACAGGTCAATGTCAGTATTGATGTGACGCAGTGGGACATGGAAAGGTGGGTGGGGCTAGCTCGGGAGAGAAGGAGGTGGGGTGGAGTGTGGTGGGGTCGCTGCCAGGGAGCCCCATCCCATGCCGAGGGATTAGCTCTGCTAGCCGACAGATGGCTGGTGGACCTAAGCCTGCAATTTGTCCCTCCCGGATCACCGGCCTCTTCTCACATCTCTCGTCCACCACCACAGAGTGGAAGTGATTCTAATGAGGAGGAAATGTGTACGGGTTGTAATGTTATCTGTCTGAACAACATACAGATAGGCCTCACATCTGCTTTGCAACTGGTTGTCACAGAAAAAAATTAGTGATGGGTTGCTTTCCAGCCAGTCCTGCTCCTCACACATCATATCCAGCCTAGAAATAGAAGGTCGGGTACCTCGAGCAGATACCTGCAAACTACTCTGAGCAAACCTGCCGTGAGGCCTGAACAAACAAAGCCGAGAGAACGAGGCTTGTAGTTCAACATTAATTGTCACAGCTGATGCTGAGGGATAAGTCTGCGGCCTTTGTGTGTGCCTGTGCGTGCGTGTATCATGTCCCCTTTGATCCGACTGGGCCCTGACCCTGACCTCAGTGTCACATGGGATTGACCCACTCCCCCCTCGCAACCACGAGGCTCAGGTGCCCTCTCCCAGCACCTCCCGATTGGCTGTTGCTGCCGGCCCGTGGGCCAGTCGATTGTTCCTGCCCCCTCCTCCCTCCCCTCCTTCTTTTAGGAGTCATTGCTTCCTGCGGCCCTTAAGCCTCTTTTTGTATCACCGCTTAATCCACCCGGCGACAAGAGCCCTCAGCGGGCCTGTCAGCCACCCTGCAGCGTTCAGAGGAGATGAGAGCTGCGAGGAGAGGGAGAGGGAGAGATGAAAACAAGGAGAGAACGGCAACGGCACATACATGATTGTATGTGTCATGTGAATTGGCGGCTGTCTACCTGGTGTGCGTTGTGAGCCTCGTGCATTTATGAGTGTGTCAGTGCCTTCTACTTTGCATGTGTGTGAGGAAATGCTTTATTAAGAGGGAAGCAGGGGGGGAATCTGGGGTTGGCGAGTTCACAGGGAAGCACAGGAATCCTCTCTTACGTGACTTTCACACTGTGCCCAGATTAAGAGTGCGTTCCCAGCCTCCCACTGCGACCGTGCATACGTGTGTGTGTATGTGTGCGCGCCTGTGAACGCCGCCTCTATTACGAAGCAGCTACTGCTACAGCCCGCACATTAGCAAAGACGGATGCTTGGTAAGAGGGCTGAAAAACACAGCAAATAGGGGACATTCTCGCTCCAAGCGGTGGTTGGGGATTTTGGGAAATATTGGTCGCTTGCTTCCCTCCCGTTGCAGCGGATACCAGGAGGAGATATCGCCTGCTGCGCGCTGCCGTGCCTCCAAGACAAAAACATAAACATGAGGGGGTGGGCATGCATATTTAATGTTTAAGTGTTAATATCTGGAGGGGAAAAGAAGTGCAATGCCGGTGAGTATGTGCGGGCGGTGGAACTTAAACAACAAACGAACGAGCTGTCTCCAAGTAGCAGAGCTCAACATCCCCCTCCTGTTTCCTCTGTTTGCTGCAGCCCCCAGGAAATGCCTTTGTAGTTTGGCACGCTGCAGCAGAGCCGACGCTGCTAACCCTCGACTTACCCCGGTCTCAGATGAGACAACCATATACATTCACATGCCTGTAGTGTTGAATTATTGAGTATGCTATGCCAAGTCATCTCCTCTGAAGTCAGAGATATGGAGAAGGCATCCTGAATTTTTCAAATTAGCACTGCGGCTGTTGAGTGGGCAGACAGCTGGACTAGCGGCTAGCTGTTGAACTGGGTATATTTTCATAGTTTTAGCCAACATTTCTAATGCTTATGATATCATTGTTGTGTAAATTGTTGTGTTATTTGGTGGCGATGACAAATTAATCCTAGATTGAAGCTTTCATACTTGTGTTGCAGTGCTTCAAAGCAGCAATGTGTAGAATTTAGAGGCATCGAGCAGTGAGGACTGCAGATTGGAGTGCACAAAAGGTGAACTCCCGGTTAGTATTCCTTCAGTGTGCATTGTCTAGGAAGTTGTTACCGGGAGCTGAATTATCAGCAGAGATCTAACTCTCTCCAAAACAGAAAAAAAAAAAACGCTAAAAAGGAGTTTCACGTTACAAATGAGTGTTTCTCCAATGCTGTTTGGCTCATCGCAGACAGGCCGCTAACCCAGCAACTGCTAATGTGTGCTAATATTTTTCATTGATAACTTAAGATCCACATGTTCAGGAGGTTGTTACTGGGAGCCAAATTATCCACAGATGTCTCTCTCTCTCTAAGACAAACGAACCTGGTGATTTAAACTGGTAAAAACACTGAATAAAGTAGTTTTATGTTAAAAATAGGAGTTTTACTGTAGAAACATGGCTTTGCATCATGGCGGACTCCATGGACAAGGACCTGCTCCCTGTGTAGATACAACGACTCATTCTAAAGTAACAAAAACACGATTCTTATTTTCAGGTGATTATAAACTAAAGAAAACAATCTACCAGTATATACTCCTACATCCTACACACTGGACCTTTGACAATTCAGGGTGCTAAGAGTGTCAACAACTGACGGTGAAACTTCTCCATTAAGTTGTCATTGTTCTAAAATAATATGCTCTGCACAATAACTGTTGCCTGATGAATTAAAACATCAGCTATATCCCCGACGTACAATAACCTCACAAAGCTAATTACAGTGTCAGTTCTGACACGTTCTGAGCTGTCGGAGAAAACAACACTGTGATCACTAAGGAGAAACAACTCATTACTCAAGTTTACAGCTCGTCTATTGTTTGCACTCCTCCTATGTTTATCACACTGCTACAGAGTTCTTACCTACCATTAGCAAGTGTCAGACTGCTGTGTGTTTAATACCTTTTAAATGCCTCCTTTGTCCTTTTATACTGACAAACTCAAATCTCATATAAAGATGTGAACAGAGCAGTATGCAATAACACAGGCGACCACTTACAAATGCGCAACCACTGTATCTGCTTCAGGCGATGTGAGGTGTGTTTAACACTGACACTTACCACAGAATAGATTTCATACTTTCATACTGGTCTCACACAACCACATGCACACACACTCTCACCGGAGGCTGTGATTTAGCCTTGTTATTTCACTTATTACCCCATTCAATCAGATGCTATTAGACAATGGGGAGCACTGTTAAGCGGACACAGTAAAAGCACTTTGGGGCTTTGAGATCAAAGTCAGTGCTTTTTAATACACACGTAAGCACCTAGAAATAAAAATGCATAGTCAAAGTTACCAGGTTCCCACAGTCTGTGCTAAATTGTGTAAAAACACCAGTTTGGAAACACTATTGTGAAACACGATTACTTTAGAAAAATTGAGTGCGTCACCCACACTACACAAAACTATCATGACACGGGCACATACGCACCATCTTCCTTTTTCTCATCCTTCGCTTTTCTCAGTAAACACAGTTGTAATTTGTCTTTTGTTGACAGTAAAGACCGTATTTCCAGTAACATGAATCACATCTGTGTGATATCTTTTAAATGATTCAGCAAAGTAAGAACTGACTGTAGTCTGAGCAAACTTAAAACAATATATTACTTGAAATGTTCTGACTTTCAATTCAGGAAATCAATTTGCAGACAGTGCCCACATGGAGCAGCACAGTCTGCAGCAGTTTGGTCGCCCCTATAAAACAGCTCAGGGGTCAGCCTCTACTTAGTTTATTAAATTTTTATAAGATGGGTTTGGGGAGCAGGTTGAGTTTCAAAGAGCACTTGGAGGGTTTCTGTTAAAGGGTTATGTGTTTGTATAAATAAATCCTTGCTTCCTTGCGTCCCTTTGTGCATTCTTTACTCCCCTTCCCCCCAGTGCTCTGACCGTCTTTCTTCTGGTGTCAATGAGTTCAGCTGTGGCCCCTATACCCCGTTCGCCTAATCTGCTGCCCCCTCAACCATCTCCACTTCTCCCTTTCGAGCTGTTCATGCCTCCCAGAGCTCAGGCTGCTCTCACCCTCACTGTCTCTCCCATCTTTGTATCGTTTTGTCTGCATTTCTATATTCCCCCTGAGCTCCTGCCCATCCTCACTGTTTCTTTTTACACTGCTACTGCCTCCTGCCTTCTTCAGTATGCCTTTTTTCTCCCTGCTCTACCCCCTTCCTTCCTCACCACTCCTTGTGCTGCACATATGGCAACACATACAGACCACAGTATTGGCTGCACAGTCGATAAGTCAAAGGGTCTAGCGGGCACCTGTCACCAACAGCACCACACTGCCTGCCGTCATCAGACCACTCCCTTCCTTCTCCTGCCATACACAGGGCTGTTGTCACGAGAAAACCTTACATGGCGTATTTTCCGTACTCTTGTTTGGGTCAAGACTTTATAACTTCCGAAATCCTACTTGGTAAATTCAAGAAAGCATTGCCAGGGTGGTTTGTGAGATGTTGACACAGTGGATATATAAGGTTTGCACCTGGCAGTAAGATTACATTAGATTCCACAGATCCCTCCTCCTCATCTCTGTCCTCCTCTGAGCTTTCACAACTCTGGCTCTGCGCCTTGGGAGAAGCGAGATAAAGAGGTCTGTGTGCTAACACTAGCAGGGGAACATGTATGCATGCACGCAGCAACTATCGACTGATAACGCAGCAGATGGGGGCTATAAGGCCTCTTCAGCACCTGCATAACATGGCCGTATTGATAAGAGACGGCCAATGTGGACACGTCAGCAGAGCTGATATGACCAGCAGCAGCACTCAAAAAGAAAAATAAAATCCTGCACGGCTGACAGAGTTTCACATACCTTACATGATAAGATGCAGGCCCATTATATACGTTATCTTGTTTTACAATGTGTGCAGATATACATGTTCCTCTCTTTAAGTGTTGAAAGAGGCAATTGCACTCTGTCCAGGTCATCTTGACACTTTGGCAACTCAATAAAGCAGCTGGTGTCAGTAAATAGCCGCGGTTACATGGGCAATATTTCTTTATCCTGACTGAAATTATTCTGATGTACTAAATTAAGCGATCAGATAAGATGCGTTTACATGCCCCGAAGCGTTTAATCAGCATATAACTTTGTAACTTTGTGTATATGGCTCCACCCGCTGTGAAGCGTCTAATCTGCTGGAAAAATAACAGATGAAGAAGAAGAATATGGTTTGTTTTCCAACCTTTTGGGGAAAATTAAAGTCATTAAATGTATCAGTAAGTATCCTAAGTGTAACCTAGGTTATTTTCTGTAGCTACAAATTACAGATGTCCCCTAAACACCTCACATGCAGACTATGGGTAGATGTTACTATTTACCAATGCTCCCTAAACATCTCATATGCAGGCTGCTGGTAGTGATAGACGACTGTTATGTCCAGCAACTCCACAATGCAGCCTGTAACAACAATGTTACATTGGGCTAAGGTTTCAAAATCAAAGAATACATTTATTAATCAGAGTGCTGACACTAGCAGAGCGCTTATGAACGATACTCTCTGAAATCAGCAGAGGGAGGCGCATAGAAAGAGCTGTTGCAGCAGGTGTGTGGTGCACCAGCTACATCACCTAATACGCAGCAGGAATATATTCATTCCAACCAGAGAGAAAGAATTATATGAAGCGTTTACATAGTTATAAGGCACTAATATTTTCCTGTTAAAAAGATTATCAAAGGTTTACACCACCCGCTCAACCTGATTTCATCCAATTGGGCCAGTCTCCTCCGACTGAGGTGGTCACATGAAGCATTTTTATTCTTATTGGGCTATTATTCTGATAATATTAGGTTCCATGTTAAGGCACCTAATCACTGCCAATTAAACAGTAGTCAATTTTGACTAATTTTCAACACTAAATTTGAGAATTAAACACTGATGAAAACCCAACAGGATGCCAAATACTCAAAATGACATGCCTTATCGTTTCCATCACCTCAGCTTAGCATGGGAAGACCAGACTGTACTTTTCCCCTCTATAAATCACACGAAGGTCACAAGATTGACGAAACATCTTGCTTGCTTGGCAGTTTCAGAGAAAGGCCGGGAGTCTCACCTTGCAGCCCTCACAGGCGCTGACACCATAGTGGTACCCTGAGGACTTGTCCTGGCACACAAAGCAGGGCTTGTAGACGCGGGGCGGCGGGGGAGGTGAAGGCGGGCTTGGCACTATCTCCTCTGAGCTGGTACTCTGGGTCTCTATCGCTGCGGAGAGGAAAAGAGCAACAAGGAAAAGGGGGTTAGTGAGCGCTATCAGATGGAGCGCTGACAAGACATGCAGCATTAATCGATACCAGTGGGATAAACACAAAATCTCATGTGTGCACTCACACAGATCTTAGACAACCTGGTCCAGACAGATACACTGCTGACAAACATCCAATACAAATCACCAAAAGGGGAACTTACTCACTTTCTAACAATGTGTTTGAAAAGGGGGGGGGAGAGACACTGCAAGAGCAAGGACAACTTCTTGATCACACGTCTTCAGATCCGCCACAGGAAAGACTCCACAAAACATCTTCAAAGAACAAACACTTTCTTACACACATACACAGACACATCATCAAAGCACCAATGAAACCAGCCTCTGCAGAGTATTCTTATTTTCTGCTGGAGTTTTGGCCTGCGTGTGTATGAGCGTTACGGCGAGAGGCTGCTTTGCTAGCAGGGTTCAAAGACAGGTTTTATCCTCTGATACACAGCCCGGAGTTGTGCTTTTATTTTTATTTTTAAATTGCACAGTCTTTTTAAGTAGGAATGCTGGAAATATTAAAGGATAAAACATATACTGTACCAATTAAGGGCAACAAACGGCAAAGCATACTTCTCCCTACTTCTGACAAAACAAGACAGGTCTTTGTAACTTTTTTATCCTCCCGACCAAACACACACATCACTGCCCCTTAGTCAATATCACACCAGTAAACACAAAGCGGCTGGATGCGCTCCGTCTTCATCCAACAAGCACTAATATGACAAATCAAACAACATGCAAGCGCTTCACAGGCTCCCATATTTCATATGCTTGTACATAACAAACAAAAGCAGTCCAGGATTGTGGGGAAGTAACCTGCTGTTGCCTTCATGTAATATGTATTGGACTTTGACCTCAATATCCTGTGTGTTACAAACACAGCTCTTTAATCAAATATAAAAACACACATTCACAGCAGAGAGCTGCACCCCGTGGCTGACTAAACAAGTGTATAACGCCTGTTAGCAAAGGATGCTTTTTTTGTGAGCTAGCTCTGTGTACTTCTTTTTACACTGATGCCATTATGATACCTGAGTTTTGATGCCAAACTATTATACTGTGTAATTTTTTCCATTTAAGGAAATAAGATACACTTGGCATGAGTGGCGGTGGCCTGAACACACACAACCATTCACAAACTGTGATTAGTTACAGTACAAAAATCAAAACTAGAGATCTGAAACAGCTGTTCCTGACCTTTTTCCTTAAGGGACCTCTTTTCTATGATTGAGTCAACTGATGACTCAATGCGTAACAATAACAGAAAAACTGCTAAACTGTACACAAAATCCGAATAGCAAGCACAATAACTGCAGAAAGTTTGTGTAAAATGAGAGATTAGGATGAATGAGCAGATTGTTTCCTGTGAATATGACATCAGAAATTTTCTTGATATTTTTAGTACCTCTTTATATGATTTTCTGTATCATGGATTTTTTTTTTTTCACTTTTAGCAATCACAATACTAAATAGGCGTCTTTTTTTGACAAATTCTTTAAGGTTTTCTTCTCCCTGACATCTGGCCATTGCTCTATAAGCTCTTTGGTTATTTTAACTGCGTACTGAATACTGCTTTCTAAGTTTATATGCTGAATGATAATGCTAAACTTAAAAAAAAAAAAATCATTTAGTTTTTGTCACAGAAGTGAGAGCAACACTGACATATAGGTCTTCTGTGTCTGTCTCCCTTAAACTCAAGAAGACCTCATGACCTCTGCGAAGCTGTCTCAACCCCCAGGTGTTGGAACCAGTGAGCTTAATCCTTCTGCTTCAGTCCATATCCATACAGGTTTACTGTACACCAGTGTGCTTCTATGCAGCCCTGATGCTCCACCCAGCATCATCAGCTCAACAGAAGAGGGATTGGGGAGGTTGACAAGCAGCTCAGGAGCCACCTGCAGCTCAGTGTGTAAATAAGCCATCTATAGTTAACAGATTGGGCTGGTTCAGCAGGCCCCGTAGTACAGCTGGGAACACAATCCACGTGACAGCGCCGCAGACAAACACCGCGCTCGCATTGGATCCTGAGACAGCCCACACAACTCCAATCTCACAGCACATCGGGCAATATGAAGCAAGGGTGAAGTTTTTCTCCTTCTCTTTCTGTGGCACACACACACATGCACACACACACACACACACACACACACACTTTCCTATCTTTTTATAGTGTCTCTGTGCTGGTCTCAGCTTGCCAATCTTCACGCGCATGCAGCAGATGGTGCAGGGGAAGATTACATTCAGAACAACCAAAATAAACCAACCTGAAGCCCAGATATGATCTAGGCTTCCTGTAAAAAAAAAAAAAAAAAAAAAAAACAGAATCCAGCCTCTACAGATCCTGCGTGTTATATCTGCCGTCAGGGAGACACACAGCATATCCAAGTGGGTTTCAAGTGACGGGTGACAGTTAAGCTAACGGCAATAAAGCTCACATTGCAACACCTAACAGTGACACCCAATCAGGCCCCGCGTATTAAGACATTTCATTTACGAGGCCCAAATGTCATGTGCCACTTCGACACCAGCAGCAACCTTTCAAGCTCCTTGGTGTAAATGGGTCAATACGGGTGGAGGGGTGAAACTTTGGATCGCAGCCTACAGCCAGACACACAAAGAGTTTTTTTTCCTGCCTATTGAGCAGAGATTCTTCGGAAATGTATTTGCATTATCAGGGGAAATGGGAGGAAGAGGAGAGCTTTTTAAAATGATGGAGGGTGGAGATGAAGGGAGGAAAGCAGGGAGGCACAAAAAGGCAAAGAGGAGACGGAGAACTATGATGTGTTCGAGCAATAAACAAGGCAAAAACACAAAACAGATGAAGTGATAAAAACTGGTACACACACACACACACAGGGAGTGAAAGCTCGGCTGTATTACTTTATTTTCCTCCCTTGAGTTTTTAAGATTCATCTACGTTACAAACACAAACGCACGCACACATACACACAGCTGTCACGATTTAACTCGCAGCCAGGAAAAACTACGAATGGGAGTGTTTTTGTGGAGCTAAAGTGCAAACGATTAATTTCAGAGGAGATTACAGGAAAGGAGTGATACATTTGAGAGAATGTGTGGACACATGCTCGTAAACAAGAATGATACTGTTTTCCAGCAAGGAGAGTTATGCATATTGCAGTAACACATACTTTTTTTGCTGCGGTTGCGGAGGAAAAATGGGAGGTGATTTTATGCAAAGGAGGTGAAGGATTCAGTCAAAAAAGTCGCGTTTCCACCACTGGTAATAGCCACATCACCGCGCCATCTAACTGTCACTGTATTTCCTCTTTACAAGCGATGCAGAAAAACATCTGCACCACACTGATTGTCCACAGAACGCAAACATTTTTAGAACAAAAAAGAACAAGCTGTGTTTACAGTCTGTCGCAATCGGTGGGATATTTAAAAATAGGTTTGTGCATTGAGTCCTTGTTGAGCAAGAGTGATGATTCTCTCGTGACCCGTCAACAGACTGCAGCGATTCTAGCTCCATCTTTCAGTATCGGATTAGTGCACAAGGTACCTCACCAGAGGGGGATGAAAACCGTACTAATGTGTGATGTACTGAACTGAACTGCTTGGTGGAAACAAACTGAGCAGGGCAAGGGCTAGTGTGAGAAGGACAGGGAGAGAATCTGTCCTTTGCTTCTCACTGACATCATGCCACTGGGCCATGCAGTCGCACCACGCTCATGTCAAACAAATTAAACTTAAATAGAGCAGCCATTACATAACATGGCATGTTTTCTCATTAGCAAAAAACCATTCACAGTTTTCCGCGCTCTTCTGCCTCTCTTGATGTGGACTGATTACAGCCCCTGCGTTGTAAGTGTGACGACAGAGCTATTCATCCACGCTGTAGCCGGCCTTCAGTAGCAAGACGTAGACAAACAGACGTGCCACCCACACACATACACATACACATAAACATAAACATGAAAATTGCATCCATGCCTACATTTACGCAACTAAGGGCTTCCCTGGAGCAATTTAAAGAGCCCCATCGGTCGGACACACACACATAAACACGCAGCAGAATGCATGCTCCTAATGAGAGCGCCCATGGAAATCTGGGACACAAGGACAAGAGTCTGTGAGGGGGCTGGCGACTGTAATTAAATACAATGGCTGGCTTCTGGAGCCTTGTCAAGCTGAGGCATGGAGCAAAACAATAGCAGGCCTGTGGACGGAGGGGCAGAGAGGCTCAGCGGAGATGACAGAGCTACTTAGCCCTTCAGCAGCCCTCACCCAGGCATTATTCAACACCAGCCTGCATCCAAGCTCTGATCAACACCAAACTATCATACAAGCCTGCCTATTGTGCGATCCACGAAATCATACGCACAAACACTGGAAGAACTGACTCACGCTCGCCTGGAGAGCTTCCTTCGATATCCTTGCAACATATTAACACTGGGAATGTGTGTGTCTGGCAAGGTTTCCGGGCCAGAGCCCCTCCAGAGCCCTGCAAAGTCACCACGGTAACTAATACTTGAGCTACGGCTAGAATATCATTCCTTTAGCCAAGAAAGAGAAACATGAATAGACAATAACACGCTGTTTTGCTTAAGGATACAGGCACATGAACCCTGAAAATAATGTTTAAATGAAAAACAGCGCTGATAAGGAATCTATTGTACTGTGGTGAGGAGGTGAAACATGCCAAGTAGACTGTATGGTCACCGCAATTGTTGCTAACCAGACACAAGGCTGGATTCAAGACTACAGCCTGGCATGCTGTCAGACCAGCGCAGGAAGCGGGAAGAAACAGCACAGGCCGTCAGGTGTAACCAGAGGAAACAAACCTGACACTGCACTGTGTTGAATCCACTTAAAAGGAGGATGTGTGTCTATCATCTGACCACTGGCTTGGACTGAGAACTAGCCTTTCTGCTAATCCTGGCATATTTAAAGGAAAACAATACCCATTTTCAAAATTGATACATGG